ATGATTGCCTTCTCTGCCGGCGGCCCCTGCCCCAGGAGAGTGCGGCTAGACCTGTCCAAAGGTCAGGCGGAGTCAGTAGCGGGAGGACAGGCTGAGACGGACCCCTTCTCTCCTTCCTCCTCTCACTGAGATCTCTGGGCCAGATGGCAAGACGGGTGCCCAAGTGGGGCAAGGGCTCAGGGACAGGAAGGTCCAGGTCTGGATCAGGTTCCGGGGTGAAAGTGATCACACCCACACCAATGGAAGACAAAGGAGCCTGAGAACTGACAGAATTGACGGGGGGAAGATGTGCCCTCCGGGCCTTAAACTGAGCCCCAATGGCTCGAACCTGCTCAGGGCTCAGAGCCGCTGACAATGCTGCACTATGGCATGTACTCTTGAGCCTGTACAGGTCTGCCTGGCATGCCTCCATGCAGGCCTCCTGCTCAGCTCGAAGATGGTCAATCTGAGACAGGAAATCCACTATTGCTGGGAACTGTGCAAGCCAGGTTCAGCTCCACACAAGCCTCTCCATCTTGTCACAAAGTGCCAGGCCCACCACGGGATCACTGATAGTGACCAGGCTATGGCACATGCTCTGTAGTACCCGTGAGAAGACCTCTAAGTCTTTACCAGGATTAGCCTGCGCTGAACTGGACTGGTTCATTTTTCTTTTTCTTTCTTTTTTTTTGGAGGAGCTGAGGGCAGGAAAAAGACAAGGAGGGAAAAGAAATTCTAAACTGCCACCTGCTGGGTCTACTGTTGGCTGGTTCGTTCTTTATAGGCCAGGAGGTTATTAGGCAGATCTGCATTCCAGGGATGGCGGTGTGTGCGGGGAGAGAGGGAGAGAGAAACAGGGAGAGAGGAAGGGAGCGGAGCACAATCCTGACAGTTAAAGCAGCATAGACATAAATGTTTAAAAATTTGTTTGTGATTGCCTAAAAAACAGACCTGTGTGTGTGGTGTAGGGTGAGACAGTGTTCATTAGTTTCCTTAACCATGGTCACCTTGTGGTGTGACAGATCCGACCTGACATTTTCATCCAGCACTACTGTCCTAGTGTCTGTATGATTCAGTATCTGACACTGTTACAGAAAGAATCACTACAGAGAAACAGACAACAGGTGATCAGTCTATTCTTTTTAGGACTTTATAGTGACAGTGTATTTCAAGTACAATGTGTATTGTACAAATTTTCACAATATAGGCACGTGTGATTCTTTTTCATTACTTTATTATTTTAAAAAGGTAATGGTATATAAAAGCTACTCTTTTCAATGTACAGTCCTGAAAAAGTAATGGCACTGTTTGCAACTTCCTGGATTTCTGCCTAAATTGGTCATGAAATGTGATCTGATCTTCACCTAAGTCACAAACATCAACAAACAATATTTCTTTCATGTTTTGAAAACACCCATTAAACATACAAAGTGATGGTGGAAAAAGTCATGGCAAAAGTAGGCTTCTGATGTCACTAAATGTCAGCTGGAGTCAGGCGTTAGCAAACCTAGAGTCCAATCAATGAAACAAGAATGGAGGTGTGGTTTAGAACTACACTGATGTATAAAAACACTCAAATAGTGTCAGTGTGCCATTCACAAGCAGCATCAGCTGTAATTCTGTACTAGATTACAGCCATGAGTCATGCCTTGCAAAAAAGAGATCTCAGAAAACCTGCATTTTGGAGTGGCCCAGTCAGAGCCCAGACCTCAATCCAATAGAGATGCCGTTCACACCATACGTCCTAAGAATATGGCTGAGCTGAAGCAGCTCTGTAGGAAGAATGGTCCAAAATTTCTCCTGGACGTTGTGTAGGTCTAATCCACAGCTATAGGAAGCACTTGCTTGAGGTTATTGCTGCCAAAGGTGGTTCAACCAGTTATTAAAACACTGTTAAACTCATAAACTCATGAATAAAGTTAGACACCTGATGAAATATAAGGAAGAAAGAACTAATGATGACAAGCCAGCAAAATAGGTTTAGGGGCTAGCTTTGACTTGAAATTAGGGTTGTATACGTCAGATGCTTGATTGATCTGACGTAATTGATGCGGGATTGATCGCAGGTAGCCTATCGTTCGATAAGGCAGCTGTTGCGCTGCATTATGGGATTTGTAGTTTGTGTGTTATCGGTGCTTCATATCACTGGGCCATTAAAAAAAAGATATATAAAATGATCTCGCGGGCCAGATGTAATTGTACACCGGGCCGGATGTGGCCCGCGGGCCTTGAGTTTGACACATGTGGTTTAGTACAAATAAATTAAGTTGGCAGCTACACAGCTTTCAACCACTCCTCACAATGGACACATATTTTTGACCTCGACATATTGGTCCTTTTATAGCATCCCATAACAGGTACATAGGGACTTTTCATTATTGCAACTATTTCTAAGTTTTATCATAGTGACAAGATGGCACTGGTTACTATGATTATGAATGCAAAAATTATGTAAAATATCTGAAATGTGGTGAAGCACTATTTCTATCTCTTAAGTTCTGTTCCAGTCCAGAAGAGAAGTCTGCTTGTACCCACTGCCAATGGGAAGAAAGTTCTTTCAATCAATCAATGTTTTAAATTGATGCAGTTTCGCAACTGCCCCAATTGATATTTGAAATGTGAAGCTTTGCTTTGTTTTTGTTAGAGCTCCAGCTGCGTTCCCTAATGGTTATACTTGCTTAAATATATCATTAGAGGTTATTATCTGACCATCTTTTGCATCCAAAGGAACCTCTGGCTAGGATCATGCACAGTGCAATCTGTTAGGTTTGATTCATCAAGGTTATTATCACAAATTAGTAATGATAGAATCAACCCTCCCTGGCATGGCATGAAAGTGCTTTTTTCATGTTTCCTTTTGCCACAGGGTTATATCAGCAGTGTAGCAGTTTTCTCTCATCATTGCCCCCTGAGTAATGTCAGGCTGCCAGTGTGCCTGCAAAATTGCCAGTTTTTCTTGTCTTGTTTTAGCTTGATTCCATTCTGTGAATATAGGTCTAGATTAAAGGCTTAAGAATCTAAGCGTAAATGGGGGGAAGCTGTCTTACTTGAGTTGTGACTCAGGCTTCCTAATACTTAGTTGGGGCATCATGGCTCTGTATCATTGTAAATCACTGAATGTACCATGTTTTGTGTTGAAAACCTTTATGTGTAGCTTTAACTTGATCTCACTGCAAATGTTCTTCATTTATAGTGTTGATCACCTAGCCTGTCTTGGAGAGTCGCGCTCCCTTTCTGAACTCACCCTGGATGGGAATCCTGTAGCCCTGGAGACATGGTACAAGCAGGCCATCCTGCGCTGTGTGCTTCATCTAAAACAGCTGGACATGAAGCGCATCACAGTAAGACTGAACTTTAACAATGTGTGAAAAAAACACTGACCAGTTGCTGCTAATTCCCTCTGCCAAGGAGAATATATTTTTGGTTCTCTGTGTGTGTTGGTTAGCAGAATAACAAACAAATGGCTGGATAGTTCATCAGCATACCTGGTACAGACATTCATTGGTACAAACCTTAGAAGTGATTAGATTTCAGCTGTCAAAGGTCAAAGTCACAAAAAATTACAAAAATCCGTATGGGGCAAAATTAAAAAAATTCAGACCTCCATCAAAAGTTAGCAAAATCATTTGAAATTTAACAGGGTGGCAATGTCTGTCACCAGACCAAATTTTGTCTGGATCTGATGGCCATTTAAAATTAACACTGAAAACACCATTTAATGCATATATCCTGCCATAACTTGGCCTGTAATGAAGATAGAACCCTGAAATGTTCAGGTAAGATACACAGTATGACTGCCTATCATACCATAAAAGATGATCCAGATCATGCATTTTAGGACATATTTTGTGTTGTTCTAGATCTCATTTTTCACAAAGGGCTGATTTGCGTGAGCAAATGTTGTGCCTTGGCATAGGCACATGCACTCTCTGTGTGCTCTTGTTATAATTGTGGCTTCTAAGCTTTTCAAATTTAGTTTATGTTTTTTCTTATTTCTTATTTCTACACATTAGAGGCAGCAAATCACACAACCACAATGGGAAAAAATATCCTGTAACAGTTTCTATCATGCCACGTTTCCATTATCAAACATAAGGAAATGTTTGCAGAAATACTGATGGAAGCAAAGAATTCTAAGGAACTTTTATACCACATAAGAACAGGATTACTCATGTAGAGCTATAGCAATATACTATAACTTAAAGATACAAAACCCTCACAAATTATGGCTATGCTATACTTTGTACTTTCAAATGCCTGTGTTACTGTGTCATATTTTGATTAGACCTTTATATTCAGCTTATGGTCCAAACCTTAACTGTCTGAGCATATGTTCCTAAAGGCGCCATACATGTTGATTCTTGAGAGCAACTCTGTCTTGACATAAGCTTTATTATGATTTCAGAGTTTGACATAAACTTTAGATGAACCCACATAGGCAGCCTCCCATTTTCTGTCAGTGGGGCATCTCCAGGCTCCTGTACATTTTGCTGATGCCATATTCATTAGTTTTTCTTCCCTGACATCAGCATTGCAGCATTCAACATGTTCTCAGTTGCTTTTACAGGCAAAAATGCTTCACTGACTAAACTGTGACTGTGAACTAAGCATTTACAAAGCACATAATGTATATCCAATCCAACCAAACAATGTTTATTCTCAAACATAAAAATGAAGTCATTGTCTTTATACAATGTGCCAGCAAAGTGCTACAATGAAATATCAGTATGCTTTTAGAGGCTCTCAAGCAGAGAGCACCCAGGTCTGAGCTTGTCCTTTAAAGGAATCTGACAGTACCACACACCTTGCCCTCAGAACATACTGCTGATATCATGAAAAAAACCTTGTGACTCAAATTTCAGTGATCATTCATATTTTTTACTTGAATTTTAAGGTACACATGGTCTGCAACAGGTTTAGCAAGTTTCATGATCTTATGGCCCATTAAATCCTTCCAGCAAAGCACAGTCTGTAGCTGTCAACCCTGACAGCAGGGCTGGTGTTTTGTATCTAGAAAGTTTACATGTGGAAAATGCAAAGTTTGTATTTTATTTGTTTTATTTATTTGACAACAGAAATGTAAGTTTGCATCTTTTTAAAGTGTGTCATGATGTTGCTAC